GGCTTCTTGGCCTCTGGTTTTTCTCCTTTCTCCAACATGTAACCCCTGCTCCCCCTTGGTCGATAAAAGGGAGGGCAGGGCACCCCGCTAAAGGGACGGACAAGCTCACAGAGAGATCAACCGACACGACTCAACAACACACATCACACACAGCTGAGCAGCGATCAAGCTCTCGGCGACCTTTCGACCAATCCATCAGAGACTTGGGACTCGTCCCTCTCTCGACCGTTTGTACCCCCTACTACGAACCATATTCGGTACTAATAACACGAGCAGCAGCAGACTGGACGTAGGGACGTTCAGCCCGAACCAGTATAAACCCCGTGTCCTTTAGTGCACCATACGTGCCTAACGCGCAACAACTATAAATTTACTAGCTGGTGTTTGTTCGAAACACCGACAACTGTCTAGTACAAATGGATCTACAAACGCTCTGAATCTAATTTGCTACCATCAACAGTGAGGTTCGACCGGATCGATGCAATTATGATGATAACCACAAACTAAAGCCAAAGAATCCATAAAACCATCTATACATTGACAGGTTTCTGAAAGACATGCTATATGTGTGAAAGCACAGACGAATCGGTTGAAATAGCCGATTCAGGTAGAAAAATGATCATAGCATGAGAACAATCGACTATTTAATACGAACAGGTTTATAAACTCATCAAATCTAGACTATTATATTTAACAGTGGGGTTCGACCGGATCGATGGCAGCCATAATAAAGATAACAGATTAAACCTTTAAAGTAAACAGATCTGTTGACATTTAACAGGATCACAAAAACATATTGTGAGTGTTAAAGTGCGGACGATCGGCTATTTAGCCGATGCAAGCATAGCAAACAGCCAAGATCACGTCTGGTCGAAAGCAAGTCTACCAACTAACATACTCCGATCTAAAGTATTAACAGTGGGGATCGACCGGATCGTTACATCCATAATAGCGAGCTATAGACCAGATTCAACTAGCTAGCAAACCTTCTCAAAATTAGACATGCCTTAACCGCGTGCTATGCACAATCAAGATCGAAGTAGAACAACCAATAAAACATAATCCATCGTTTAAAATAAGTACCGTCGTAATGTAACAAAATAAACGATGGACTAAAAGGATGTGAGGCCGAACTAGATTGATCTCGATCGACGGGTTGATATTACTGAAACTAATAACAATAGAAACATCAGCAAGATCGATAACTTAATGAATCTACCCGAAGGATGTCACCCTTAGGTAGAGCCGATAATTTAACCTTAATCTAATTCGAGCAGTGGAGGTCGAACTTAACCGATGCAGCCATACTTGAACTAGATAAAGATCGATAACTAGCTTATACTAGAGCTCGCAAGAGGTCGGCCGGACCGATGCAGCCTTACAAACAGAAGTATAAGCCATGACGGTACTTACAGACAAGCCGGAGGTCGGTCGGACCGATGCAGCCCTGCTTGTTGAAGAACTCGCCGAGATCTACACTACTCCTACTCCTAAGGGTTGACGTGAAGCCAAAATAATAATTAGTATTGATTGATTGGATTTGTCCCTTACAATAGCCGGGCTTTGGAGCACGGAAGAGACAGAAGAGTGGCTTTGGAGTACGGAAGAGATGGAAAATAGTTTAGAGTCTACTGGACTCTGATTTTTAGAGTGTTTTCTACATTTTTATTTTTCTCTGGGAGATGCTTTAAACTCCACATGGTTTTCTTCATTTCCTTTCTTATCATCAGTCGAATAAATGGCTTTGGCAGCTACACTGCAATTAGGTAAACATGTATCATGCGTGTTTCTCTGTAGTATTAAGTATCAAATATATTTTTTTTGCATGAGAAAATAAAACTTTGGCCTCGGTCACAAGTTAAAGGCCTTGCTCTTACATACTACTTCCATTTCAAATTATAAATCGTTCTGATTTTTTATATACATAATTTTTATTGTCTATCTAGATATATGATATATTTAGATACGTCGTAAAAACTATATATTAAAAAAAAGTCAGAACAACTTTCAATTTAGAACCGAGGTGTAAATCAAAAGTAACACGTCCATTATTCCAAGACAAGAGATTAAACCAAACGGTCCATATGCTAGTGTACACATGTATCCCCACCCTGTAGCCACGGACCTAACAAAGTCTCGATCTAACATGCTGTCCTTTGTAGGGTGCAGTGAAGTGTGATGGCTGTGTGATCTGCAAGCTAAAACCAGATCGTACGTACTTTTCCATGTGTGCTGATGACACTCAAATCATTATCAATTTATCAGGACAAGAACGGTTGAATCGTGTTCCACTCCTCCTAGTCCACTTGAAAAAAAAAAAAGGCCTGCGGCATCGATCATGACGGTCGAAGGCGACTCCTAGTCCTATGACGACCCTGCTACACTTGCACTTTCCAGCAGGCCCAACAACAAAAGAATCTTGTGACGACGGAAAACTTGCAGGTTACATAACTAGCGTTGCTCCACTAAATAAAAAAAAAACATAACTTGCATTGCCGTCCCCTGATTAGCTCCACACTGATGAACCGCGATCGAGCTCCCCGGGCAAGGCATGCCTGCGGGTTCCGAAAACTGCGTCAGCCGTATGACGCATGCAATGCAAAAGCGTTCATCAGGATTCAGGAGATCCAGCCATCGCCAGTCGCCACGGGCCACGGCACCGTCACTTGGCGCAGAAGCTCCGTCCGTCCGGCCCATATGCGATCCGATCGATTGGTACAGCCTACGGCGACCTCTGCTCTTCCCCACGTTGGCTGCACGCGCGTAGCCGGCCCGAAACGTCCGGCGGTAGTGGGGGTGTGTACCTGCGTGCGCCACATTTCACCAGCCGCGAGTGGTGGGCGTCGTACCCGGGCGTGCAAAATCTGCAATCTGATTGCACGATCGCACGTTCGCCCGGAGAGAGCACGAGCAACGAACGGTAACGGCCTTCACGGTAGGCGCGCGATCGCGTGGACGCGGAACCTAATTCGGGAAGGCGATTACCCGGGGGCGGACGGGCGGTCCCGCTGCGGGCCGTGCCCGTGCGAACCAAATCTACCCCGCTAGATTTTTCTTTTCGCTGCGCTGTTCATGGTGACGACTGACACTACTGTACTAGTAGGGTGGAAATGGCAAGATTCCTGGGGAACCATCAGCCTGTTCGGGAGGCCGTATCGTATCGTGAATTATTTACTGCTGGCTGATTTGGTGTGAGAGAAAAATACTGTTCCCGGCTGGAAATTTACAATCGTTTACGAGCAAACGAACAGACTGATGTGGGCTTACTTTTCTTTGATTGGGTGTGGGCGTGTACTAGGCGAGACCTTGACAGATGACGTGGATTCCCTGAATCCCTGTTTTCCCTTACTTTTCATTGATTGGGTGTGGGCGTGTACTAGGCGAGACCTTGATAGATGACGTGGATTCCCTGAATCCCTGTTTTCCCTTGTTCTGTTGTGCCTTCGTTAGAGCATCACCAGCAGCTTCCGATGGACCCGTTCGCTGGTTGGTGCTGGTGCTGGTTTAAGCTGGTTGATGCTGATTTTTTGTGAGAGAAAAACACTGTTGACTGGCTGGTTTGGGCTGGCTGAAACCAACAAGCGAACAGGCTGGATATCTCCTATATCCCAATAAAACTGGCATACAGAGACATCTATGTTTTTTTCTTTATCCAATAGTTCTCCAATACCTCTCTTTTTTTTGTGGTCACCAATATTTTTCTCATCTCACCTCAAAGAAAGAGGAGATACAACTCCTCCAATACTATGGGACCATCTCAAATACCACTTTTCAGTCATATTTTCTCTTACACTCCTGTGAAACCCATCTTTCATATGAGTACTGGAGGAGATATATTAAGTACCGCTACAACATCTTCCCTAATAAATTTAAAAAGTGATTTTAGGCTATTCCAATACCATCTTATTAAGAAAGTTGTATTGGAGAACTGCTGGAGATGCTCTTACTTTTCTTTTATATATTATAATATATATAGAGCTCCAATATAGGAGCACCTTTTTTATCTCCAAGATGTAGTAACACGGGCAGACCTGGCCCCGGAGACCCTGGGCATCTGGTCTACTACAAGGCTCAGTTATTGGACAGCCTATATATAAAGAAGATGAGGTCCAATCCATGGTTTAGCCCATCAGTTCCCCCAAGGTTCCAAAAACCATTTGCTCCATAGCTGCTTTGATAAGTTGTGTGCATAGTGATATACAGCCTGTTCGGTTGGCTGGTTCGTTTCGTTGCTGGTTCGTGAAGAAGTACTGCTGACTGGATTGTGTGAGAGAAAAATACTGTTCCGGCTGAAAATTTACGATCATTTACGACAAGCCACAGCCAGACGAACAGGCTGATAGCACAAACATTGCATAATCTTACCTTTGATGTGGCAGTTTAGTTGTGTGCGCATGACTCGATCACCAGGTTTCAAATCCCTGTGGCCACAATTATATATCTAATCTAATACTACTTAAAATATATAGACGGATTTCGTCCAAAGATTTTCGTGCGCGCGCCCCATCAAAAGTCCGAGACTCATACTATCCTGCGCCGTGCGTGCATGGGGCCGACGCCCCATCAAACCTCCGCGTCCAAACCGAAAAAAGCTCTATCGCGGCATCGCCTTACTACCGACGCCACTAATTGACGAACGTTCATTAAGAGTGAAACCAACGATCAGTTTTCTGACCGGTACAGTTGTGTCAATAGGAAAGCATTCATTTCCACCCGACACCATTTTAGGATAGTATACTGTTTTCTTTCTCTTTTTGGGCGCGCAGGCATTCCATTCACTTTTCGGGAACGTGCTGGGCATAGACATGCTGGATCTCACGCTTTCCCACATTTTTTTTGAGATCCATGTGCACATAACTTAATAACTGAATTAGACAGCATAACTTCGACGAATAACTTGAAAGTGCTAACTTAGCATTGCTCCCACATTTTCTTTTAGGTTTCATCAGCCTTTTTTTCTCTGTTCAGAAACTAATCATTCAGGAACACGGGAAAAAGGTTTATAAAAGGGTGGGGGATGAAATAAAAGTAACTTTTACAACGTATACTATACAGTAAATTCCATAATATGATGCAACCTTCCCAAAAACCAGATAAATAATAACTTTCATAACTTCTGCAGCAATAATCTCAGCATCTCTATAACTATGATATTGAGCAAATATGTTTCTTGAATTGGAAGATCTGCAAAATATTTTAATTTTAATATTTAAAATAACAAGTACAAAACACAAGTTAGATGCATTACTCTTAAAAGTAAGTTAGTCAAATAAGTTAGCTAGCATGCATGCACATGAAAAAACAAGTTAGATACATAACTCTGTACAATAAGTTAATCAAGTAAGTTAGGTAGCATACACATAAAAAGAGAAGTTAGATACATAACTCAGTACAATAAAGCTAATGAACTAAGTTAGGTAGTGCGTAGACATGAAAAACAAAAAGACAGTTAAATAACTCTGTTATTTAACATAGCACCACAAAAAAGACTATAGAACAAAACTATAAAAAGAAACTATTTTAATAGCAATGAATGTAATAAGTTAAGTAGAAAATCATACCTGTTATACTTTGTTGATGCAGAATTTAAAAGCTTTATACCCTGACAAGTTTAAGAAAGAGCAAAGATAAGGATTCCATCAAAGACAAAATAATAGGTACAAATATAAAATCTTACATATTGCTCAGCTATGTCACGTATTGCAGGTAACAAGAATTGATTCTCCTCATGGGTGCACAAATAGTATGTCAATGCCTCACGAATAGGCTTTGCATGCTCCTGCATGACATAAAAATTTGAAAAACATCTTGTCAACTAATCTGAAGATGTAGGCAATATGTCCTAATCAAATGATCATAGTTTTAAAAATAGAAGTTGACAAACAAAAAAAATTCGGAGTATAATAACTAATTTTAATAGATTTAGCACAAAGTAATACCTCTTTGAAATAAATATGAGTCTGACCATCATAAGATCTTAGTGATTCAAGAACAAATACTCCACTATCATTTCTACAAATAATGATTTGTTTTAAATGTTAATACTTTAAAGGTTGAACAAATGATATGAATTTTCTAAAAAACAGTGAAGAAGTCAAAGAAGCATACTGACTAGTTGAATTGGATACACTGCAAAAGCAATGCTCATCATGTAAACATCAACTCTTCTCGATACTGAATATGAACACTTGAAGACTTTGCGAAAGTTACTGGCAATTACGAGAGCATCTTCTTTGACAATATTGAAATCCTTAGACGGACAGATGATTTCAAATCTTTTTTCCCTCACGTGTTGCAATAACGACATACCAATATCAATTCTTGCAAGCTAGAACAAAAACCTTTAGAAAAAAACAAAAAGATTTTATGAATTTAATATGAAATAAATAAGACAAACTCATTCTTAAAACATAACATTTCTCCACATTTTTAAACAGAAAAGGGCAAGTATATCACAAAGCCACACACACATACTGATAATCTGGAATGAATTTAATTAACAAAACTTACAAGGTCAGCATTGTCTAGACTGTATCCAATGCATCTCGCAGAGAAGTGATGACAAATATCACTTGGAACAAGTTCGGCATTTTGAAGTTCAACCTGACAAATATGCATATAAGATTTAACAAAAACATATTGAAAAGCCTCATCACAATGGCTAATTAAGTGCCCATTTGAGAACAAAAGTTAGACATACAAGTTACAAACAAAACTTAATCATATAATTTAATAAACTAAGTTCAACACACAAGTTAATAACTACAATTTATGTGCAAAATATAATAAACCATATAACTTATGTGCAAAAAAGTTAGACATAAAAGTTAATAGCTACAAGTTATGTCCACAAATTTAAATATAAAAGGTATGTGGAGAAAGTAAGACATAAAATTTTGTGCACAAAGTTAGACACAAAAGTTACGTGCAAAAAATTAGACATAGAAGTTATCTGCAAGTTAGGTATAAAAGTTAGACATAAAGTTAATATGATGTAGAAAAGCAATTACCCGCAAATTCTTTAAGCCAAGTGACACATTTTCCTCCTAGGCCCTTGAAAATCCTAGATGAGGAAATGTTTTTCAAAATAACTTAATCTGAATATGAACGTTACAAACTTTTTTACAGGATGCAGAAGTGATGCTTACAAAACAAGCCGCTCTACTTTATTATTGAGTGCACTATTGATGTCAGATAGTTCCTGCAAGATAGATAAAGCAATAAATAATACAGAAATATATATGTTTTGTACTAGGAGATTTTTTTTAGGACGTCATGTATATGTTTTGTATGCATATGGCAGTTACCAGTAAATAGAAATAGCCAAATGGATTAATTGTATTTACTACACTTAAGACCTATTACCCAGTTGCAACTTGGTTTATATACTAACATGCATACAAATAACTTCTGGTATTATACAAGATAAGTTATGCAGCACAACTTATGTATATGACTTATGATACACAACTTATATCTATAAGTTATACAACCCAAGTTATGTTACAAGTTATCATGTAACTATGATATACAAGATCCTTGCAAAGTACAAAGACAACCAGCATAGGTAGTATTAATTTAAATTGTTTTCCTTGCATGGAAATATTGAATCAAAAGGAATTGGTTTATCAAAACTATACTTGAAAAACAGGACAAGAAAAACAAAGAAAGATAGAAAATAATTAGCAAGGATATAAATTTAGATTGCTGAAGACCAGACAAATAAGATTTTCACCAATACACAAGATTGACTGACAACAATAGGCTCAATAGATGTAATATAATGCCTAAATGAATCCTTGAGGAAAGATTGACACATGTTCTTCATATTTGATAAGACTTGATTAACGAAAAGGAAGCAAATCAAATTATGTACAACTTGAAAACACAAAAGTTATGTAACAAAACCTATGTACAACTTATGGCATAACTTGTAAACACAAAAATTATGAAACACAACTTATGTGCATAAGTTATTCCATTCAACTTATGTACATAAGTTATTCTACACAACTTAAGTTACGCAATACAACTTATGTACATAAGTTACACTTGTTTATAAAAAAAACTATGCTTATGTACAAATTATATAAAAGTAATATATAATTTATATGCAGAATTTACTTGTAAGATGTGTTTATTTAAAATATGCACTATTGCAAGTAAGTTCGATGATACAACCTACTGCTCATATATTATAGTGAAGATTGCTTTAGTTAGATAATATCAGGCACTATCCAATCTTGTGTTATCAGGCACTATCCATATGTTCAGTTTAGCCATTCTCAGATAACATGGTCCATGCTGCATTTAAGCAGTGGGTATAAAAGATCATTTTGAACTTTAGAAATATTGCCACTCAATTTTCAGTGAACTAGGGAAGAAGCATTCATCATCCAACTTGTGAAAGCTAATATATACAAATAAGATCGCATGCATGTCCCTACTTATTTTCTAGTCATTCATGTAACCAGTACTAATTTCTTACCACCTCGTCCTCCTTGGAGTCTCTGCTTTCATCATAATTTTCAAAAGAACCACCAACTGGAAAAATAGGAAAAAGCAACATAATCTGAATTTGAACATCACATACTTTTTACAGGATGCAGAAATAATGCTGAATGAAGGAAGCTGCTCTATTTGTTATTGAGTGCACTTTTTACAGGATACAGAACTAATGTCATAGAGTTCCAACAAGACAGATGAAACAATAAATAAAACTACAATGCATCCTGCAAGAACTATGCTGCTAGCTTAAGATTAGCATGTCTTTGATCAATCCTCAACATAAGCAATACTTTTAGTGTTAAACTTTATAAACACTTAATGGAGTCATCATATGCACAACATGCTTTTACAATCCTAAAAGATCTCCGGTAAAGTTTACAGGGTCTACTCAACTAATAATATCTAAAAAGTATAACGGTGCTCCATCAGAAAAAATACACTTATAAATGAAGGCTAAATCCTTAAGCATAGATGCCCAAATGAAATGAGCAGATTTGCAAAGCCATCAGAAGGGTTCGTATACTCATTTGGATTGAATAATAATTTATTACCCAATGCACCAAAAACTCATGAAGATTGAGATTGAACAAGTGATTCCCAAAACCACATGATTTGTAAGGAAAAAAACAACATTAAATAGTATAAATCTAACAAGTTAACCAAATTAGAACACACCTCCTTAAGCCCACAGAGTCTCCCTAGAAGCTTTGATCGTGATTCATTTAATTCTTGATCAAAAGAAACATCATGTCAGTTCAACCCCATAACAACGAATGCTGATGTGTGATATTTAGTACTCCCTCCGGTTCTCTAAAACAAGTCGTTTTGAGGTTGTCTTAAGTCAAACATTTTAAACTTTGACTATAAATAACTTCTTTTGGGTTGAGTTTGAAAATATGAAAGTGATATAAGTAGATTCATCTCGAAATGTAGTTTCATAAAAGTATATGTTGACTATATTTTATAAATATTTTATAGCAAAAAGTTGTAGTAAAGTTGTTTCTTAAATACCGTGTCGATGTCCAAAACGGACTTTTTTAGAACCGGAGGGAGTAAGTTTCAGTAGCGTTTAGTTGTTCCCTAATACCTAGAGCATCAACATGCACCAGCCACACACAATATCATTTTCGCTTGTGACAACCGAGCACACGAGAAAAACAGTAAAGTAAAACCTACGAGGCATGAATGGTGGATACTTGCCGAGATCTTTTCCTCCACGGGCAGCAAGTCTTCCTCTACAAATCGAAACACAAACCCGAAGTGAACAGAAAACACAAACAAATTTTGCAGAACAAAGATCATCGGAACAAGGAACATGAGTTGCTCACCGTCGGGACGGAGAGGTCTCCATCGGCTCCCTGGCCGTAGCAGAGGTCGGATCGGGCGGCGCGCCACCTCCAGATGCCTGCTGCCGTGTGAGTGATCGAGATCTGCCATCTCTGGGAGCCCGTAGTCAGACGGGACGCAAAGATCCGCCATCTTCGATCGCCGATGGTTGGACAGGAGACTGAGATTCCTCGGTTATGGAGATCAGGGGCTGGCCAAGAGGGCGAGATCTACCGGCTCTGGTCACCGGTGGCCGGGCGCGAGGACGAGATCGGCTGCCTCCTAGCGCGACGGTCGTAAGGTAGGAAGGTGGAGACTGGAGAGATAAAAGGCAAGGCACGACGGTCGTGCCATGAGTGAACCGGTGATAAAGTGGAGAGAGAAAATAATATTTAGAAAAAATAAAGGAAAAATGGTAGTATGGACATTTTACACATTTTAACAACTAGGAAAAACTATTTTACCAAATATTTTCTAACAGTTGAAGCTGAAGCTAAAATAGCTGATTCATAAGATAAGTCGTAGCAGTTTTGGTTAGAACTAGAGCTTAAACAAACGAGCCTTTAATTTGTTCATGTAAAATCAGTTACTCAAGAGAGAGAAAGATGCAATCATTAAATAGTTGTCTCTGCCACCCAACAGAATGTCTCAACACGGTGAGCTATATGCGTCCTCATAGATATATGTAGAAATTAATGATCCCAGTGCAAGGCATGGCATATATATTAATGGAAATCGTGCTAACTAATTATCTCTTTCTGTCTATTAAAACAATAGGTGCCCAATTCCTCAAGAAAAAATGGTGGCCACCAATTCTAAAAAATGGCCAAAGTGAATCGAAATGACTTCCACAAGTCATCGAAAACCGGATCCACGTGTTCACGTCCAATAAGATTTTTATGGTTTTCTATTCTATAAATCTGTCAACATAAGTGTAAAAAAGGACATTGTCGCGTATCGATATTAGGAATACCCAAAGCAAGAAAGTTAGCACTCACGCTGACTTCTCCGGATGACTCGAGACGTATTAAAAGGTCTCACCCGGCCCCAAGGCCGCGGGCTCCGTCTCGCCCGACCTTAAGGCCGCGGGCTCCGTCTCGTCCGACCCCTTGGGTGCGGGCTCCATCTCGCCCGACCCTAATGACGTGGTTTCTGTCTCGCCCGACCTCGGACTCCGTCTCGTCCGACCTTGAGGACGCGAGCTCTGTCTCGCCTGACCCCTTGGGTGCGAGCTCCGTCTCGCCCGACCCCAAAGACGTAGGTTCTGTCTCGCACGACCCCTTGGGTGCGGGCTCCGTCTCGCCCAAGGTCGCGGGCTCCGTCTCACCCGACCTCAAGGACGCGAGCTCCATCTCGTCCGACGGGGACCCATACCGCCGCCAACCACTCTAGGTCCAAGTGTATGGGCCTGAGTCAAAACTCTGACGCCAGGGAAGAGGCTGGCACGCCTCGATGTAACCTGTGGCCACGACAGGATTCACATCAAGAACAGTGTCAGACGTGTCGGTGATGTTCTGCCTAATCCTTGTACGGACGTTGATAGGCGCGTCAGCTTACCACGACGTTCGCCGGGATAGAGTGAAACACCATGACCTGCAGATGACGCCTGCACATGGCGCCAGTGATGAACAGGGCCGTGACATAGAGCCGGCCCTATTGACATCTACAGGATTGGTGGGACCCGCATGAAGGAGAAGGACCCGACAACCCTGGAAGACTTCTTCTCTCTCTCGTTCTTCTCATTTTCCTCCTCTGTAATCCGCGTTTTCCCTTCGCCTATAAAAAGAGAAGCAGGGCGCCCCACACTAGGAGATCGGAACACAAGAGCACAACACGAGCACACGACTGAGCGGTAAGCGAGCTCTCAGCACTCGTTCACTCCTTCCACCAGAGACTTGGGATCCTCTCCTTCTCTCGCTTGTTTGTAACCCCTATTGCAAACCAAGTGTCGGTAACACGAGCAACAGTGAATTGGACGTAGGGACGTTCCGCCCGAACCATTATAAACCCTTGTGTCCTCCGAGCATACCATCCGAGCCAGACGCGCAAATATAAATTTACTCGTCGGTGGTCCGAAAACACCGACAGTTGGCGTGCCAGGTAGGAGTTTTTTGCGCGTCTCGACGTCCACATCAGGCCTCAGATGGCTAGTCACGACGTCAGCTAGGTCCCAGGCTCGATGCGATCACCGAGACACTTGAGGAGCTACAGCTGCACGCACCGGAGGCCCACGCCCTCGGGAGCGACCAGCTCCTCGGCTTCGATAACAGGAGGCTAGAGCGCTAGCTCGGCACCTTCGTGGGACCCCGACCATCCTGGGAGGACCTACGCCGCCTCACCTTCTCATTCGCCAATGTCATGATGTAGCTTGCCGGAGAAGGGCCGCTCTCCCCAAAATACCTCATCCGGAGCGCCCCGACAGCGCTCCTGTTCGGTCTGTGCAACGCCGCAGAGACCGTTGGTCACCTTGTGGCGCAGCGCACGCCCCCATCCCCTACGAACGATGAGTTCGTGGGGATGACCAAATACGTCGTGGAATCTTTCCACGACCTTCTCATGGGAGAATTGGAGGCGCCCTCTGACTTTGACTCCAGCAGGGGGAGCCATCACCCCTCACGAGAATATTTTATGGCAGGTACCCCTGAGGGATACATCAAAAGCATCCACGAGGGAGGGCTACCCCAACAGATGACCTCGACGATGAGGTCGAGGGGGATGTAGGGGCCCCACCTCGCCTGTGGGTAGAACAGCTGAGGGCGTGGCACAAGGAGCTTGAAGAAGCACGACTCCAGCTCGAGCAGGAACGCATGAAGCTCGAGAGAGAGATCGAGCGCCACGGAGATAGTGGGCGTGCGTGTGACGTGGCCTGTGACATGAACCGGAGGATCATCAAGGACGACGAAGCCCTCCCACACTTTACCCAGGCAGGCCAGAAAAGCGCTGCGACGCGCGGCCTTGCTCCGGGGGCTTCTAGAGCCTACGACACTCGAGGAGCGTCGAGCCCATCGTGAGATTCACACGCTACTCGAGCGTGCAACGACGTAGCAGGCCCAGAACTCATTGTCCCAACAATGCGATCTCACCGCCAGTCAGCGCACACCCTCAGAGCGACCCGATAGGGATGTATCAGTCCACCAAGCGCAGCGAGGCGACAGGTCGCGATCGCGATCCCAGTGCATGAGGGTCTCGACCTCCACCGTGATGCGTGCAACACCTTGGATGCCCATAGGCATGCCCGCGGTGATGAGAGGGAGAAGGCTAGCCATGGCTACCACCCTCGTCATGGCGGATGCTACGACAGCGGCGAGGACCAAAGCCCAAGCCCTGACTTGTTGGGACCTCAGGCCTTTGGCCGACACATCCTCAACACCGTCTTCCCACTGTGGTACCGACCGTCAACCACCATCCCGAAATACTCCGGAGAAACAAACCCCAGACTGTGGCTCGAGGATTATCGGCTTGCCGCAACCTTCCATTGTTCTTGGCCGACCGTAAGGGGGTTGGAAGCTCGCCGAGGGTACCTCGGACCACTTTGAGAAGCTGCTCAAAGGGCCATGCCCGAACCATGCTTTCCCCATCAAGCACCTAATCAAGGTCTGCGTCCTCATGAAGCAGTTCTTGTCCGGAGGCTCCAACAAGGGAGAGCATAGGAAGGAGCCCAAGCCGGCCGTTTACGACGCCGAGGGAAAGGACGATGGATTTCTGACGCTGGATAGCTGCCTTATGATCTTTGGTGGGTCGACGGCCTATGACTCCAAGTACTGCTAGAAGCTTGCGACCGCGAGGTCTATACGGCCGAGCCGGTCGCGTCTTCCTTCCTTCGATGGTCGGAGTCTGCCATAACCTTTGATCGGACCGACCACCCGGAAAGTGTCTCGCAGCCAGGAAGATACCCGGTCGTGGTCGACCCGATCATCAGCATGAAGTGGCTCACCAAGGTGCTGATGGATGGAGGCAACGACCTCAACATCATGTATGCTAAAACGCTCGACACCATGGGCATCGACCGATCGCGCATCGGGCCGACCGGGGCACCTTTCCACGGCATCGTGCCTAGAAACCAGGCCATGCCACTTAGGCAGATCGATCTGCCCATCACCTTCAGGATTCCAACCAATTATAGGATGGAGACCCTTACAATCGAGGTGGTCGGGTTCCACGAGACCTACCACACCATCTTGGGACATCCATGCTACGCGAAGTTCATAACCGTCCCCAACTATACCTACCTAAAGTTGAAGATGCTAGGTCCATGCGGGGTCATCACCATCGGCACCTCCTTCTAGCGCGCCTATGAGTGCGAGGTCGAGTGTTGCGAACACGCCGCGATAATTGTCGCCTCCAAAGAGCTTGCGGCCATCAGGGAGGAGGTCGTCGAAGAAGCACCCGACCCCAAGCGATCGGTCGGGTCTTTCAAGCCTATAAAGGGTGCTAAGGAGGTCCTCATAGACCCCAGTGGCTCCGAGGGCAAAGTGGTGCGCATCGGCACCACACTTTCCTCCAAATAAGAAAGCGCCCTCGCCAACTTCCTCCGCGCCAACAAAGACATCTTTGAGTGGAGACCCTCGGACATGCCAGGCATTCCGAGAAAAGTCATCGAGCACACCTTGAAGATCAAGCTAGCCTCCAAGCTGGTGAAGTAGCGCTTGCATTGCTTCAACGAGGAGAAACACGGGGCAATCGGCGAGGAGATTACGAAGCTTTTGGCGACCGGGTTCATCAAGGAAGTATACCACCCCGAGTGGTTAGCCAATCCCGTTCTTGTACGAAAAAAGAGTGGGAAATGGAGAATGTGTGTTGACTACATGGGTCTCAACAAAGCATGTCCAAAGGATCTATTTCCTTTACCACGCATAGACCAAGTGGTTGACTCGACCTTATGGTGTGAAACCCTTTGCTTCCTTGATGCGTACTCCGAGTACCATCAAATCCCAATGAAAGAGTCCGACCAGCTCATGATGTCTTTCATCACCCCGTTTGGATCATTCTGCTATGTCACAATGTCGTTCGATCTGAAAAACGCGAGGGCTACATATCAATGTTGTATGATCAAGTGTTTTGGGGACCTCATTAGGCAAACCATTGAGGCCCACATGGACGACATCGTGATCAAGTCCAAATGGGCTGACCAGGTCGTAGCCGACCGAGAACAG